GCTTTTGCAATCGTGTCGGAAAATCGTCTGGGGGGCTTCACTGGGGGGAGTTGTTCATTCCGGGTGCGTTTCTGACGGCCCTGGTGCCCGAAAACGGCCCCGGGAAGCCAACAACGACGAAAACCTGGAGGCGATGGACACAAGCAAATCGACGATGAGAGCTGGATGACCCTTCCAAGGCAGCGCAGCGGCGTCCTCCCTGAGCGTTGCCCCTGGCGACGGGGGGACCGGCAGGTTCCCCACGTCGTGGCCGCTCTGCGGCTCCAGCTGCAAGTGCTGCGCCGCCTCCCGGACGCGCCGCTGCTCCTGGGGCAGGTCGGGGCGGGGATGTGCGGCCCCCCCCCGGGAAGGCAACACTCGAATGCAGGAGGGCGACGACGACGACGACAAGGAGGCAAACAAGGCACGCGTCAGGAAGGGGAGGGGGAGGAGGGGAAAACGGGGGAGGAGGGAAGGAGAGGAGGGAGGAGGGAAGAGGAGGAGGAAGGGAGGAGGAGGAAGGGGAAAGAGAGGGGATATGAGGGAGGAGGAGGAGGAAGCAGGAGCAAGGGAGGAGATGAGAGGAGGGAGGAGGAGACGGTTGAGGAGGAGGAAGAACCGTGAGACCTTCCACGCCGCCACAAGTCATGGTTGCCGCCGCGGGCACGCCCCACGCTCGCGCGCCGGGCTTTCGTGCAGAGAGGCGCTCTTCCCGCTCCAACGCGGGCCCCCGCCTCTGGCCACTCCCTCCGACCCGCCCTCTCCCCGCTCCGTTCCTCCCGCCACTCCCTCCTCGCTCCTCCTCTGCCTCTTCATCCTCCTCCTCACAGTCCTCCCTACTTCCTCCTCCTCCTCCTCCTCTTCCCCTCCTCCTCCACCTTCTCCTCCTCCGCCTCCTCCTCCTCCATCGCCCTGCTCCTCCTCCTCCTCCTCCTCCGCCGTCCTCCTCCTCCTCCTCCTCCTCCTCATCCTCCTCTTCCTCCTCGTCGTCCTCCCTCCGCTCCCCATGGCCCGTGGGCGCCGCACGGCGCCCACGGCGTGGCGTGCCGGGCCTCTCGTCACCCGCCGGCGACGTCCGTGCGGCGCGGCGGCGAGATCCACTGCCGCAGCAGGGAGCCCTCGGTCGCCGAGTCGCCCACGAGCATCTCGGACTGCGAAGCGCCGAAGAGGGGACGTCGGCACGAGCACGGACTCTCGTCGAGGGCTTGGGGTTCAGGGTTCAGGGTGGAGGCTCGGGGGCCTGGAGGAGGAGGAGGAGGAGGAGGAGGAGGAGGAGGAAGGAGGAGGAGGAGGAGGGCCCAGCCCTGAGAGCCGGGAGCCCGCGCAGCTCCCGCGAGCGGCGAACGCATCCGTGTCCGCGCCCTCGCGGTCTGGATTCGCGGGGCGCGGCGCCGCGGATGCGCGGTCGCACGGGTGCGTTCGGCGCGGGGCTCATGGGCGAGACGCGCATCCGTGTATCCGTGTCCGCGGCCTCGCGGGCCAGGGCCCGGGACAACACAGGACACACGCTCAACACACACGCACTCACGACACCCACGCAAGACACAGGACACACAATAACACACACAGACACACAGACATACAGACACACACACACACAGACACACAGACGCACAGACGCACAGACACACAGACGCACAGACACACATACGCACAGACACACAAACGCATTGTCACACAGACGCACAGACACACTGACACACAGCCACACACACACACACTGTCTGGCGGCACCGGCCTCGCGCGCGGCGACGAGGCGGAGAACAAGAACAGACATTACGCGCACATCTACTTGCAACACACACACACACACACACACACACACGCACACACACACACACGCACACACACACACACGCACACACACACACGCACACACACAGACGCACGGCTGGACCCGCATGCGGAGCAGCTGGAAACCACGCGCTGGATGCACATCTTCGGAAGCCCCGCGTGCACGGCCATCGAAGGGTCCTCCATAACGGCCCAAGAGGCCTTCAAACCAGCCACAAGAGGGCCCCAAGACGGCCCAAGAGGTCTCAAACACGGCCAAGATGGTCTCCAAGATACCCCAAGACTGCCAGGTGATCTCCAAGACGACCAAGATGGCATCCAAGACGGCAGAAATATCCCCACGAGAGCCGAAGGTGGCCCAAGAGGCGCCCAAGATGCCTCCAAGACAGCCCAAGATGCCTCCAAGACGTTCTCCAGGAAGGCCCGAAGAAGCCGAACTCAATGACTCGCCCTCGGTGTTTGAAAGATTTTCGCAGTTGCTTCTTTTCGGCCTTCCGACGATCCAAGACGGCCGAAGAGGACCCCAAGATCGCCCCAAGATCGACGAAGAGGCCCCAAGATGCCCCCATGACGGCCAAGACGCCCCCAAAGCGGCTCCAATAATGCCCCAGGATGGCCCAATATACTTCCGAAACGCCCAAGATGGCCTCCAAGACGGCCCTAAAGCGCCCCAAGAGGGCCCCAAGTCGGTTCAGACAGGCTCCCAAGACGGCGTCCGACAGCGTCAGAATGGCCAGTAACGCCCTAAGACTGCCAAAGAGGCCCCCAAGAAGCTCTCAAGAAGCCCCCAAGAGCTCCCAAGAGGCTCAAGGAAGCCCCCAAGAGGCCCGAAGAGTGCCTCAAGAGGCTTCCAAAACGCCTCCTCCTCCTCCTGCTGCTCCTCCTCCCTCTCCTGATCCTCCGCATGATGCTCCTCCAAGCGTTCCCCAAAAGATTTCCACTGCAGTTCGGGGAACACCTGGTCTGATAGCTTCGCGAATCTCTAGCTCCAAACGTTTGGCCATAGGGCTTCCAGGAGATGGCTTAGAAACGCACCAAGAAACTCCAGCGAGGCTCCCTCAGTAGCCTCCGACGGCGTCAGACGGCCAGAAACGCCTCCGACGGCGTCGGATGGGCCAAAACCCTCCCAAGACGGCCACAGAGGCCGCCAAGAAACCAGGAATCTCCCAGGTGGCCCCAAGATTCCCCAGAGACTCCCAATCATCAAGCTGTATGCGGTTCCAGAGAGCCCCCCAAGACGGCTTCTGACGGCGTCAGACGGGCCAGAAGCCCTCAAAGGTCCCCAGGAGGCCCAACCAAGGAGGCCCCCACGATGCCTCCAGGAGGCTCGCAGGAAGCCCCCAGGAGGCCCCAAGAGTGCCCCCAGAGGCTTCCAAGATGCCCCCTCCTCCTCCTCCTCCACGCCCTCCTCCTGATCTTCCCCGCCATCCTCCCCCAAGTGTTCCCCGAATGGTTTCCACAACGGTTGGGGGAACACATGGTCCGATAGCTTGGCCAAGCTCTGGCCACTACGTTCGACCACATAGGCGCTTCCAGAAAGGCAGGGGGCAGCGCTGATTCGCCGTAGGCGTCTTCCATCCGCCGCCCCCTGCTGATTCATCACTTTCGCTTTTCGCTTTCGCGTTTGCTTTTGGTTTTTGCTTTTTCCCCAGAAGAACTCCCCCTGGGGCTTCGGCCCGTCCCGCCGGCCACGCGAACGGGACCCCAACGACCGGAAAAATCCTCCAAGACGACTCAAGATGGCCTTCAAGATGGCCACATTGGCCCAAGATGGCCTCCAAGATGGCCTCCAAGTCCGCCCAAGATGGTCCAAGATGGCCTCCAAGACGGCCCGAGAGAGCTCACGATGCCTTCAAGTTCGTCCCAGAAGCTTCCAAGACGGCCCAAGATGGCTCTAAGATTGCCTAAGACTGCCCAAGAGGCCCCCAAGAGGCCTCCAAGACGTCCTCCAGGAAGGCCCGAACGGGCCAACATTATTGATGCTGCTCAGGATTTTGCAAGATGTTGGCATTTTCTTCGTATCAGCTCTCCGACGGCCCAAGAGGCCCCCAACATCGCCCCAAGAGCGCCCAAGAGGCCTCCAAGATGGCCCCATGACAGCCCAAGAGGCCCCCAAGAGGGCCCCAAGAAGGCCCCCATACGGCTCAAGAGGCCCCCAAGACGCCCAAGATGGCCTCCAAGACGGCCAGGCTGGCCTCCAAGATGCCTCCAAGACGGCCAAGACTGAAGGGGCCCTGGGACACACAAATAAATACACACAAATAACAGGATTCCCCATATTTTCCCATATTTCCTGTTTTTTGTATTCTCCCCACTTCCCATATTTTCTTTGAAAGACGTCCTCCAAGAGGCCCGAAAGCTCGGAATCCACTTGGTCCGATGGCTCGCCCGACCCCGTGCTCCCCGAAGGCTTTCGAAACCCACTCGGGGAACGCGTGGCCCGATAGCTTGGCCAAGCTCAAGCCCAACTTTCGGCCACGCAGGCGCTTCCAAAAAGGCAGGGGGCCGGTGATTCGCCGCAGGCGTCTTCGATAGCGCCAACGTCTCAATGTGCGCTGATGATTCGCATCTGCCCCGCATGATGTTCCCAGATGCGCCACAGTAGCGCCGAGACGCACCGACGCGACTCTGGCATATCCAATTCTGACACAGCGGGGGCCAGCGGCAGGGGGCGAAGCCCCAACGGATAAAAATACCAGTAATATCAAGAATAATGAGGCTACTCATGGTAATACTTACACTAATACGAATAATACTGTTACGTAAAATAAGACCAGCCGTACTATGATTTACAAGTCCCATTGTTACTAATAGTCGAAATTGTGTTGTTATTATAAGCGTAGCAATAAAACAACGACTGATGCTGCGGTGAGGGCGTTGGATCAGAAACCATTCGATAAAGAATCCAGGGTCCGGAAGACGGTGAACTCCAATGGCGGACTGACCATGCATATCACCGCCACCCTCCTCAGATAAGGGACCCTCCAGGGTATGAAGCCTTCTGGGCACATTCCTTAACCAACGCCCACGCCGTCAGCATACCACTAAAAAAATATTGATGGAAAGCAATACGAATACGCATCACTCAAACACTCATTGTATTAGCCGTCGTACTAATAGTAATCGTTGTAATATCAGTAGTGGTCGCAGTAGCAGTAGTAATAGTCGTAGTAGTAGTAGAACAAGTAGTAGTGATCGTAGTCGTAGTCGAAATGGTAGTGGTAGTAGTAGTAGTAGTAGTAGTAGTAGTAGTAGTAGTAGTAGTAGTAGTGGAGGTAGTTGTAGTAGTAGTAGTAGTAGTAGTAGTAGTAGTAATAGTAGTAGTCGTAGTCGTGATAATAGTAGTAGTAGTAGTCCGAATTAGTAGTCGCAGTAGTAGCTAGAAGTAGAGTAGCTCGCAAGTCGTAGTAGTATTAGTAGTAGTAGCAGCAGCAGAAGTAGTAGTATAGTAGTAGTAAGTAGTAGTAGTAGTAAGTAAAGTAATAGTATATATAATTTCAAAAAGTGAAAAGTAGTATTATGTGGTGTGAGTAGTAGTAATTACCAGTAGTATTCTAGATCGTAGTCGTAGTCGTAGTCGTATTAGTTTTATAGTAGTAGTATGTAGTATAGTAGTAAGTCGTAGTAGTAGTAGTCTGTAGTAGTCGTCGTAGTAGGTAGTCGTAGTTAGTCGGTAGAAGTAGTGTAGCAGCAGTAAGTAGTATAGTCAGAATATTTAGTAGTAAAGTAGTATAGGTGCGGTCGCAGTAATCGCAGTAGTAGTCGTATAGTATTCGTAGTAGTAGTATTAGTAGTAGTAGTAAAGTAGTAGTAGTAGCAATTAGTAAGTATTAGTAGTAGGAGTAAGATCCTAGTAATTATAGAAATAGCAGTAGTAGTAGTAGTAAGTAGAGTAGTAATAATAATAAGTAGCAGTAGTAGTAGTAGTAGACGTCGTAGTAGTAGTAGTAGTAATAGTAAGTAGTAAGAAGTAAAAAGAGTATTAGTAGCAGCATGGTCGACCTCCTACTGTCGTGTAGTAAGTAGTAAGGGTATTAATGTAGTATTAGTAGCAGTAGTAGTATCAACTAGAAAAATAAATGAAGAAGTAGTAGCAGTAGTACGAGTAGTAGTTGTGTAAGTAGTAGTAGTAGTAGTAGTAGTAGTAGTAGTAGTAGTAGTAGTAGTAGTAGTAGCACTAGTAGTACTAGTAGTAGTAGTACTAGTAGTCGTAGTCGTAGTAGTAGTAATCGTTGAAATCAGAGTAATAGTAACACCACTAAGACCACCACTACCACTACTACTACTACTACTACTACGACTACTACTACTCCTACTATTACTACTACTACTGCAACAACTACTACTACTACTACTACTACTAATGCTACGCCTACTACTACTACTAGCCGCCTGCTGCTGGCATAGTCGTAGAAGTAATTAGTATTTAATAGTAAAGAAATAGAATTAGTGGGTGTAGTAGTAGGAGTAGTAAGTACTAGTAGTAGTAGTAGTAGTAGTAGTAGTATAGGTAAACGTAGTAGTAATTAATAGTAGTCGTAGAGTAGCAGTAGTAGTAGTAGTATTAGTAATAGTAACTACAACTACTAGAAGAAACTAGTAGTATTAGAAGTAGTAGTAGCGGTAGCAGTAAGTAAGGTAAACATGTCCGTGTAGTAAGCGAAGTAGTAGTAGTAGTAGAATCGTCGTCGTAGTAGTAGTAGTAGTGGTAGTAGTAGTAGTAGTAGGAGTAGTAGTAATTGTAGTAGTAGCCGTTGTCGTCGTCGTAGTAGTAGTAGTGTTAGTGTTAGTGTTAGTGTTAGTGATAGTGTTAGTGTAAGTGTTGGTTGTAGTGTTAGTGTTAGTGTTAGTGTTAGTGTTAGTGTCAGTGTCAGTAGTAGTAGTAGTAGTAGTAGTAGTAGTAGTAGTAGTAGTAGTAGTAGTAGTAGTAGTAGTAGTAGTAGTAGTAGTAGTAGTAGTAATCTTAATGAAAAAGAATATAGTAAATAGTAGTAGTAAAACTAGTATTAGTAAGTAGTTAAGTAGTAGTAAGTAGATAGTAGAAGTTATCGAGTAGTAGTAGTAGTAGGAAGTGTAAGATTAGTAGTAGTAGTACAGCAGTAGTAATGTAGTCCGTAGTATAATTAAGCAAGTAGTAGTAGTAGTAGTAAAATAGTAGTAAAATAGTAAAGTATAATTAAATAAGGGAAATACAGAACCGCAATATAGTAGTATTTAGTAGTCGAAGTAAGTAGTAGTAGTTAGTAGTAGTAGAAGTAGTAGTAGTAGTTCTAGTAGTAGTAGTAGGAAAGTCCGTAGTAGTCGTAGTATAAGTAGTAGTCGTAGTAGTCGTAGTAGTAGCAGCAGTAGTAGTAGTAGTAGTAGTAGTAGTAGTAGTAGTAATGGTAGTAGTCGTAGCAGTAGTAGTAGTGTAGTAGTAATAGTAGTAATTGTTGTAGTAGTAATGCTATGTTTAGTATTATTAGTAGTATTCGTATTAGTAGTAGTAATAGTAGTAGTAGTAGTAGTAGTAGTAGTAGTAGTAGTAGTAGTAGTAGTAGTAGTAGTAGTAGTAGTAGTAATAGTAGCAGTAGTCATAGTAGTAGCAGTAGTAGTAGTGGTAGCAGTAGTAGTCGTCGTCGTCGTCGTCGTCGTCGTCGTCGTCGCCGCAGTCATAATAATCATATTAATTATATGATTCGTCGTAACACTACCGATATAGGAAGAGGGGCCCATGAAAGCTGGGGAGACATCATGGCCCAAACCATCAGGCCCACACGCCCTCAGCCGGACCCCACCCCCCTCGGCCGCCCCCGCTCTCCTCGGAGCCTCCCCGGCCCAGAGCACCCTGCCCGCGCCGACCTCGCCTCCTTCGAGCGGCGTCGGGGACGAGCACGAAGGCCAGCGGCGCGAAACCCAGGAATGGAGCTGGGGCAGCCCTCGCCCCTCCCCTGCGCCTCCCCCGAGGAGGGGGAGGGGGAGGGGGAGGGGGAGGGGGAGGGGGAGGAGGAGGAGGAGGAGGAGGAGGAGGAGGAGGAGGAGGAGGGAGGAGGAGGAGGAGGAGGAGGAGGAGGAGGAGGAGGAGCGAGGAGAGAGGAGAGAGGAGGAGAGAGCGGTGGCAAACCGTGGGAGCCCCCCCCCCTGGGGAGCGCGCCGCCGGGGGCAGACCAGCGCCGTGGAGAGCAGCGGGAGGACGGACACGACCATGGGCAGCGGGGGGCGCCCCCCGCCGAGCCTCCCCGCGAGCCCGGAGAGCCCGCAGCAGCTCCCACGAGCGGTGCACAGATCATCCGCGTCGGCGTCGTCGGCGCCGGCGTCGTCGGCGTCGGCGTCGTCGTCGTCGGCGTCGTCGTCGGCGTCGGCGTCGGCGTCGGCGCCGGCGCCGGCGTCGAGGATCGGCCGTCGGGGCAACGGCGCGGTCTGGATTCCCGGGCGCGGTCCCGCGGATGCGCGGTTGCACGGGGGCGCTCCGCGCCGAGCAGCCGCGAGCAGAACGCTCCGCGTCCGCGGGGCCGCCGCGCGGGGGCCTGGTCCAAGAGGCCACGGATGCGGAGATGTTCTTTCGCCCGCGGCGCCAATCTGCTCAGCACTCGGCTCCGCCCAGCTCGGCTCTGCTCGGCTCCCCTGAGATCCGACGCAGCGAAAACATACAGCATCCTGAAAAACCACGGCCAGAGCCCAGACCCCATACGGCCAACGCCCTGGACCCAACCTTCTGCGCCACTTCTCGAGCCGGACCGATTTGCGCGGGTCCTGGGACGCGAGATCCGGCGCAAACGCCCGGTGTGTCAAGCTAGGTTGCCACCTCGGGATCTCGGGGTCTCTCTCCCGCAGCGCGGTGACGGCCGGCCAGGGACCCCCCGCATGGCCGCGGCCCACAGGTTCTCGAACTGCTCGGACTCGCCCGCGGCGCCGCTGGGGCTGACGCCGAGGGCCTCCAGCAGCACGGCCCCGCAGTTGCTCCTGGGTGGCAGCGGCCCCCATGGGATCGAGGATCGAGACTCGAGCATCAAGGATCGAGGATCAAGGATCGAGGCTCGAGTATCGATGCTCGAGGATCGAGGATAGAGGATCGAGGCTCGAGGCTCGAGGCTCGAGGCTCGAGGATCGAGGCTCGAGGATCGAGGCTCGAGGCTCGAGGCTCGAGGATCCAGGCTCGAGGCTCGAGGCTCGAGGCTCGAGGATCGAGGATCGAGGCTCGAGGATCGAGGCTGCAGACATCGGGGCCTCGGGGCGCGCGGACCGAGGCCTGCGGTGCGCCGAGGCCGCGAGGAGCGAGGGCCGGGCGCCGCGAGGAGCGCGGGCTCGAGCCCGGGCCTCGGGCGCCTTTCTCGCTACAGATTGCCGTCCTTCTCCTCCTCCTGCTCCTCCTCCTCCCCCTCCCCCTCCTCCTCCTCCTCCCCTCCTCCTCCTCCTCCCTCTCCTCCTCCTCCTCCCCCTCCTCCTCCTCCTCCTCCTCCTCCCCTCTCTCCTCTCGCACCTCCTCCTCCTCCTCCTCCCTCCACCTCCTCCTCCTCCTCTTCTTTCGCCATTTTCTCGTCATGTCTCGCAATTTCATGCTCGTCATGTTCGGCGACGCGCACAAGGGGGTGGAGGGAGGGGGGCTTCTCAGAAGGAGGCTGCGTCTTAAGGCGCCGGCCTACACCTATGGGTGAGGCCCGCCCTTCTGAGAAGCAGGGGGGTGCCTCTGAGAAGCCCTCCCCCCACCCCCCCCCCACCGTGCGTGGCTGAAATACAGGGTCCCTGGAAGTCCCGTCACTTTCCCCGCAGGACCGTTTTTTCATCCTGAGTCGTTTTCTGAAGGTCCCCGGGCCCAGCGAGGGCCATACAGGGGGCCGAAATGTGCGAAACACCGCCGTCTTGAGTTTTCCAGTGCGTCGGATCTCTCGGGAGATCTTCCGCATCCCCTTGGCGCGAGAAAAAACGATCCGCCCAGGGCAGCTCTCTCTCTCGTCGCCTTCGGCGCCTCTCGGGACCGTCCCCCCGCCCCCCGGGCAAGGAGCCGGGGGGGCGAAGCACGGCCCCCCCCCCCCCCGGGAGCGGGTCCAGGGCTCCAGGGGGGCCCGTACTGCCGGGGGGACGTAAGAGTCCGGTCGGGCATGTCCTCTACGTGCACTATGGAGAAATAGTCCAACAGAAGATCCAGAAATGCTGAAATCGTAGAAAAATCGTCCCCGGACTGTTCTTGGACTGGTTCTGGATCTTCCTCCTGTAGAGGGACGCGCCCGACTGAAACGCAGAGAGGTGGTCCAGGGGCAGAGGTGGGGTGGAAGGGGGGGGGCGCTCCAGGCGGCCCCTGGAAGAAGGAGGTGTGAGCATCCAGCTGCGCTCGTTCCTGATAACTACACCAAAGAAAAACCCCAATCAGTGGATGGTTTGAAATGATCGCTAAAAGGATAGGTTTAAAAAATCGACCGGGAACCCGGGAACCCTGGAACCCACCGAAATCGGCCCGGAACCAATAACCAGGAACCCAAGAACCCGGAACCGGGAACTCGGGAACCCAGACGGCTACCAAACTCGGCGGGAAACTTTCGCCAAATCTTTCCACTTTCGCTAGGACCCCTTCAGTGCAAGCACTGATTGGGATTGGGGGATGACATCAAGACTGGTGGCATCGGTCGACCCGGAATCACGACGAGAGGTCTTTTGATATGTCCGGCCTCCTGGGCCCTCCCCGCTGGGCAGGGCTGTCAATGGAAACCGCCTGGGATGCAAACTTGGGCCCTTGGGAAGGGGTCGAGACCTCTTCGGCGGCGAGCGAGGGGGGAGTGAGAAGGAGAATGCCTCCTCAGAAGGCGGCGGAGCTTGTCAGCAGCCCTCGCGCCTTCTGGAAGGTTTCTTGTGTCTTCGGGGAGGGCACAGGCAACTTCTCCGAAGGCCGGGGGACATCCGAGCCTTCTAAGAAGGCCCGCCCCTTCTCACTTCTCCCCTGGGCTCGCCGCCAACCTCTGGGCGTCGACATCATCACGTCGGGGTCTGGGGTGGGGGGGTGGGGATCGGCTCAGGAGCGGGAAGCATCAACCTGGAGTTTTTTTTGTTTTAAATGTTTTTTTTAGCGGTACATCGACAGCTCGGATCGGCGACAGGCCCCGATGGCGAGTCCGCACGCTCCTGGGCGGAGCGGGCCATCCCCAGACCTCCGATGCCTTGTTTGTCTTTGTCGATGCGGGATCCCTGGGGTTTTGGACCATTTCCCTGGTACTGTCTTTTCGTCCCGATCGTTTCCTTACGGGCCTGGGGCCCAGCGAAGGCCCCCAGACACCGAAAGCGGTAAACGCCCCCGTCTTGATTTTTCAAAACGTTGGATGCCTGGGGCAGACCCCCATCGGCGATCAACGGGCGACCAGTGGGTCGATGCAGTCTTGGCAGCGCGCGCAGGGGGGTAGGGGGAGGGGAAAGGCTCCTTGGAAGGATGCTGCTTCTTAGAAGGCGCCGGCCCTACAACATCTTCAGACAAGGCCCGCGCCTTCTGAGAAGCAGGGGTGCTTCTCAGAAGCCTCCCCTCCCCTACAGTCAAATTCAAGCCAGAGGAACATCCCACAAGTACACGAGACCCTCCGCTGGCCAAAACGCACAGAACATCCAAGGGTTACCCTTCCCAAGGTGCACAGGAGCATCCAACAAACGCGAAGAGCACTAGAGTACCCTCCCCGGGAGGACAAGACTTGCAGGAAGAGGGTGGGGGAGGAAAAGGAGGAGGGGGAAGGAGGAGGAGGAGGAGGAGGAGGAGAGAGGGGAGGAGAGAGGTAGGAAGGAGATGGAGGGAGGAGAGGAGGAAGGAGAGAGGAGGAGGAGGAGGCAAATGGATAGGAGGATGAGGTGGAGGAGGAGGAAGAAGAGGAAGAGCCCCTTGCCCCCCCCTCCCTGTTGTTGCCCTCGCCGCTCCCCACTGTCGACCCGAAGTTGTGGCACCCGGCGAGCAGCGCGTAGAGCGTCGATTCCATGCCCTTGGCCGCAAGGCGCCAACCACGCACCTCCTCCTCCTCCT